CGTTATTAGCTGCTGAATTGTAAGGTAAACTTATAATCATACCTAAATTGCTGAATTATAATACAAATAAACATAGAAAATGGTGATGCAAGTTACTTTATTCATTTAAAAGAATATAAGAAAAATGGGCAAGTAATTCAACAATTTCATTCATTTTCACCTAAAATGTGATTTTTTTAATTCTTTCTACGCCTGCAATTCAAACTAACAGAAAATATACAGTACCTCAATCTAATATTCCTTCATCGTGGTCTGATCTCATGTAATTGGCTTGGTCGTCTTTCTCATTTGGCACAGCAGGTCTAGGAACAGTGAAAGGTGTCGAGTCATCAAAGGCATCATATTCTTCCTCATCCTCGACATCTCCAACGCCAAGGATTCTTCTTTTGCCGGCTAGCACAATAGACCATTTTGAGTCGGCAGGGTCAGATACGTAAAACACCTGCTTAGCTTGAGATGCAAGGATGAATGGTTCCGCACTATCATTCAGGTTGCCAAGATCTACAAGAGTAAAGTCATCAAATTTGACGTTACGCCTGATATTATCAACCCACTTACACCGGAAAAGAGCAATCGTGAAGTCACAATAATCAAGCTCCCATATTTCTTGAATTCGACCGTAGTATGACAACTCTGCATCAACGGGTGATTTATCCTTAGCACTTGCAAACTCCCTTGACGATGCCACAACCGTTACACCACTGTTTTGGGTTGAGGCTGATTTCAAATCTTGACGCTCAGTCCAAAATGTGTACCCATTTATGTCATATCCCTCAAATGAGCGAACATCATCCCTAGGACCATAAGCAAGCCACCTTACTGTAGCTGTGACACTCTCATCCATTCCACCCATCACTCGATCACGAAACCAACTCACAAACTTCTTGTTGTGCAACTGCATCAGTGCCCTTTCACCTTTCGACGGAAACTCATCACGCAAACTAACCATGTGCTCGTCTAAATATGGGTGAACATCTGCAACATGGTGCAACACATAAAGGTGTGCTTGTAAGAACTGCTCTCGACCAGGTGACATTCGTTTCGACCCTATTGTGCCATGACCATCAAGTCTACCTTCATGTCGAGAAGTAGGAATACCAATAGGTTCAGCAACGGCTATATAGTCGGCCACAAAATTACCAATCTCCTCGGCCACGGTCCCTTGAATCATACTTCCTTCCGGGTGAGCCCGATTCCTAACTTTATCTTGCAATGTACCCATGTGTCTTTCAAAAGGATATCACCACCTCATGAACACTGGACCGCACAACTTAATCTCACGCACCAAATGAAGAATCAAATGCTCCATTATGTGGAAAAACGAGGGTGGGAAGTACATCTCAAATTTGCACAAAGTCACAACCACATCCGCCTGTAAAGCATCAAGGGTACAAGGATCAAACACTTTGCTACATATTGTATTGAAAAACGAACAGAGGCTTGTAATAGCTTCCCTTACGTGCTTTGGCAAAATACCACGTATTGTAATTGGTAGAAAAACTTGCATCAGAACATGACAATCATGGGATTTCATACTTGTCAGCTTCAATTTTCCATTTAAGGATATAAATCTTTTCATGTTAGATGCGTACCCTGATGGAACCTTAATGTCATACATACATTCACAAAATATCCGTTTTTCTACCCTTGACAATGTGTAGCAAGCCGAAGGTAAATAGGCCTTCCCCTCTTTGGCTTTTCCCTCATTTTTCTTCTTCGACGCATCCGCGGCCTTTCCCTTTCCCTTGCTCTTCCCCTTTCCCTTTTTCAAACCCATTTCTTTTTCCTTTTCTTGTTCCTTTCCCTTACTAACCTTTTGCTGAACCCACAATTCTGGACGCACCCCCATCTTTTCCAAATCTAAACGTGCACCCTTTCCGTCCTTTGTCTTGTTTTGAATATTCATCAGCGTTCCCACAAGAGCGTCACACACATTCTTCTCTATATGCATTACATCAAGACAGTGCTTAACGTCATGTTCTTTCCAGTACGGGAGCAACCAAAAGATTGATTCTTTTTTAAAGAGAGCAACTGATTCCGCCGCTTTTTCAGATTTCCCAAATACTGTTCGTACACCCTTGACCCGAGCGTAAACCTCCTCACCAGTCAGTGGCCTAGGAGCAGTCCCCTCCTCCACCGTCCCATCGAAAGCCTTTTTCTGCCGACGGTACGGGTGATCGCGCCTGAGCAACCTTCTTATCCTCAAATACACCTCTTTGAAAGAATGATCAAGGCGTCTGCTTGGCGTATCATCAATACAAATGGGACATGTCTTTTTCCCTTTTTTCTTATACCTAGACAAGTTGCCATATGCAGGAAAATTATTAACGGTCCACATAAGAGCTGCACGCAATGTGAACATCTCATTCTTATGAGCATTAAACACGAAAACCCCTTCGTCCCACATCTTTCTCAAATCATCAACCAATGGCGCAAGATACACATCAATGTTGTTTCCAGGTTGCCTTGGCCCCGATATCAAGAGTGAAAGCATTACATATTTCCGTTTCATGCACAACCAAGGAGGAAAATTGTAGATCACTAAAAGTACCGGCCATGTGTTGTGCTGGGTACTAAGAGTGCCAAATGGATTCATCCCGTCCGTGCACAAACCAAGCCTTAAATTTCTGACTTCATCACCAAATTCCCCAAACTTCATATCAAGGTTCTTCCATTGCGGGGAGTCGGCTGGGTGCTTCAGCATTCTGTTTTTCTTTCTTCCCTCTACATGCCACCTCAAGTTTTTAGCGTCTTTTGGTAAAGAGAATAGACGCTTAAACCTAGGAATTATGGGAAGATACCACAACACCTTAGCAGGAGGTCCCTTCGTACCAGCATTGCAACTCTTACGCTTGTAGCGCGACTTCTTGCATCTTGGACACTCCTCCAATTTTTCATATTCATTTCGGTAAAGAATACAATCATTAGGACATGCATGTATCTTCTTATACTCCAAACCAAATGGACACATGAGCTTCTTAGCGTAATAGTAAGACTTAGGAATTTCATTCCCATCTGGCAACATCTCACTTAACACGCTCAACAAGGAAGTAAAACTATTGTCCGTCCACCCATGCTTCGACTTAATGTTAAAAAAAGTTAGCACGGCTGATAGTTTGGAGTATTTTTTGCACCCAGGATACAAAGGCTTTTTAGAAGCCTCCGATAATGACTCAAACACGTCACCTTCAAAACCACGCATCATCTCATCCACACCTTCATCCTCAACCTCATCCACATGATCATCCTCAAATCCCTCCTCAGCACCATCATCATCAATATGTTCATCATTCTTGTATTCCTCGTCCACACGGATATCATTGCTTCTATCATCATGCACATCATACCCAATAACGTCCCCACTGTACTCTCCTTCTTCACCATGCCAAATCCACACATGATATTTAACCCTAAACCCACGACAAACTACATGATCTCTAATGATATCAACACTATTGACCACCTTCACATTATTACAATCAACACAAGGACAATAGAGGCACTCGAAACCCATTCTGCGCTCATAAGATGAAGCCGTCTCGCAGAACTCTTGAACCCCATTAAAGAATTCCAATGTATCACGTCTACCATACATCCATCCACGATCCCTCTCCATTAAGTAAATTATCTCTAAACATGGCAACATATTACGAATAATGTATAATTGCTACATCTATTATATATACAAATCAAATTCAAACACACAACATGCATATAACATTCATATATATACAAAAATGCATATATGATTCCAAAGGGTCCTTATCACTCCAACCTAACCCATCCTTGAACGTTTACTCTCACTAGTGAATGTATATCAGATTTCCAATTTTAAGGAAAATCCGGCAGCATTTCCCCCCAGTTCTCCAAGTACACGACGTAGGTAATTACTTACCCACATATGTACCCAGAGAACATGGTGATCCAGGAAATGCTAAGCCAAGATGTTCCTTAAAATCGAAAAAACTGACATACATTCACCACCTAAGTGAGAGTAAACGTTCAAGAACAGTCCCAACCGGGGACTATTCAAGACTTTCTCCTAATGAGAAAGCCTTGAACGGGTATCTAGGCATATGATGATACATGCAATCAATTAAAAACCAATGGATTAATCACACATCATGATAGAAGATGCACTAAAGTTATATCACACACCATCTCCACAAAATTGTGCAACCAAGAACTTATTTAAAGCACATAAAGTTATATATATATATATATATATATATATATATATATATATATATATATATATATATATATACCTGAGTACCTATAAAGGCTCAACACTCTCAAATAGAAGGTCAATGCCAAGGTCTATGCTTCGCCCAAAAATTCCTGATAATCTTTTTCAGTGTAACCTATATAGAACACAAATAGAAAACCAGATTAAGGGAAAAGATAAGAATGATATTAGTGAGCAATGCAAGAACAAGGACAGTCAGAGTAAGATACCATATCAGGATGTTTTCCGCCCACTCTCCAAATTGATGATCTTACCCTAGAAGCCCTTGACACCCATTTCTTAGCCTGAAACACGCATATATATAGTGAGAAGCAACTCATAAAGAAAAGTATATTCAAACCCTAAACCCTTAACCCTAAACCCTTAACCCTAAACCATAAACCCTAAACTCTCAACCCTAAACCCTAAACCCTAAACTCTCAACCCTAAACCCTCAACTTTGTTCTCTTAAATAAAAAGGACTAAATTATCCTATAAACAAAATAAAATTCTCAACTTTATTAGTGATGATAAATAAAGTTCTCATAACAATTTAGAAATATAGGTAAATGTAGCTTGTACTAAATACAATAACAACTTAAAAAGGCCTTACATTTGTGGAGGGGGAGCCTTATGCGTTCAATGAAGGGGGAGCTGAGCCTTGCGCGTATAAATGTAGGAGTTAAGTAGCAATTATTGACAAACCCTAGCAATTACAAGAAACTTGTCAATATTAACTAATTTAAAGACCAATTCTTCAAAAACCATAACAATGGAGGAGCGCTATTACGACTTACCTAGCAATGAGGAGCGCTATAACAATGGAGGAGCTGCTACATACTTCAATAATGCAAGCATATATGGAGGGAGGCAGAAGAGAAGAGCTGAGTGCGCGCGTGAGGGAGGCAAAAGCAAAAACGTGAGTGCGTGCGTTTTTGGAGGTGAAAGCAAAAACAGAGGTGAAAGCAAAAACAGAGGAGTGCGTGCGTGAGGGAGGCAGAAGAACAAACCCCTTCAATGGAAGCTTCAATTCAATGGAGGAATGGTTTGGGGAGAGGGAAGGCGCGCGTTTTTGGAGGTGAAAGAAGAACGTTTGCACAGTCTTCCTGTTTGTATTCAAAAACCCGAAATTTTTTTTTTTTAAATTGGCAACGGTTAACCGTTGCCAATTTAACCGTTGCCAATCTACCCCTTTTAATTTTATTTATTTTTTAAAAAAAAATTATCAATTGGCAACGGTTAACCGTTGCCAAATGTAACCAAATTTTTTTTTTTTATTTTTAAAAATGGCGTTCACAGCAAGTTGGCAACGGTTTTCATGAACCGTTGCCATAGGGGGGTTGCCTAATTCTTTTTTTCTACTAGTGTTTTAATTACTTTGAGCTCTAGTGGCTAGCTATTAGCTTACTATTTAAAATGAACCCCGTCTCCTTAATTTACATTTTTATATTTCAAAATATTTATTCTAATTTGTTTTATTTTGACAAGTTCTTTTCCAAGTAAATTAGCTTGGCTTGACCAAGCTAATTGTATTTCCTTGCTCCAATGGTCAAGCTAGTAGCTAGGGATTATTTAATATTGCAAGCAAGTCCCTACCTACAACCATAGGAATTACTCTAACAATATAATAAATTTGTTTCCAAATATACTTTCCATATTAAAGAACAAGATAATAATAATATGGAAATTTATACCAAACAAAATATGGAAACCAAGCATAAAACGAATAGAGGGAGCTGCCATTTACACGTAGTACAAAATTAGACAGATTTTTATTTTTATTTTAGGAAACTCTTGTAATAAGATAGAAGTTTACTGTATCTATTTTCCCAACTTAACAAGGGTATCATAATTTACCTATAAAAGTAGTCTTCATATGCACAATATTCATCAACAAATAATTCTCTTAGTATACCGTCAAAAGCATTCGTCATTACCATCCTTTAATTTTATCTCATCGACTTTCAATTTTTCCAATTAAAATTCGAAACATGAGTAACATTAGTACTCCCTTAGAAAATATAGATTACATTAGTAATCTACATGATTCAATATTGTGTCATATACTTTCTTTTTTAGCAACAAAGTCTGCTGTTAAGACTTGTGTATTGTCAAAAAGATGGAAGAAAGTATGGACTCAAGTCTCTGTACTTGATTTTACTGAGGTACCAGAATATTATCACCCATTAAGTTCTCCATTGTGCAACGAGGCAAAAATTTGTTACAATAATTTTGTGAGCAAGGTTTTAGTTGAGAACAATACATCCTATTTACAACGTTTTCGTTACGAATTCTCTTGTGATGATGATAGTGACAACTACGAGTCATGGTTGAATGCTGCAAAGAAACGTGAATATTTTGAGCTTGATTTGAATTTAACTTCGGGTGGATGTCAAAGTTATAGGTTTCTAGAGTTGATTTGTGGTAAGAGGGTTACGATTTTGAAATTAACGGGTGTGAAAATAGATGATACTCCAGTCTTTTCATCTACCGAGCCTTGAGGTTGTCCACCTTATTAGAGTAGAGTTTAATGGCGACGAATATATGAAGAGGTTGACATCAAATTGCCCATCTCTCCAAGAACTACTGGTTTGGATGAGACATTGAATGTGGAGTCTTTGACATTAAAGTCATTAGAAATACGTGATACCGCGAATCAAAGTATATATGGACCTCCGAGTATTAGCATTAAAGCACCAAATCTTGAGTACCTTAGTATTGAAGATGAAGTAACACATTATATGGTTGATAGTCTAGCTTTGCTCACTGAGGCAAATCTTAATCTTTCGGATAATTTTGCAGATGTAGTTAATGAATTTAGAAGCAATTATGATATTTATCAAGGTATCAATTATCTTATAAGCAAGGGTTCCAAAGTAAGTACTTTGAGGCTTATAACTTCTGAGGTAACTTTATACTCCTACAACTTTTTTGTCTAATCTATGATGCTTACATACTGACCTAGTTTATTGTGTAGTTTTTAACTAATAATGTTCATTTAATTTTGATGCAGTCTCTAGTTAATGGGAAAGAGCTACCAACTTTCGAGAACTTGACTCATTTGGAGGTAAAGGCCGATGATTTTACTTGCGAGTTACTACAACGAGCTCCCAAGTTGAAATCTTTGATATTCGAGAAAGTAGGTACATAAGAATTACTTCTTTGTTTCTTTTCCTTTCGTAACTAAAATTAAATTAATTTGAATCAAATTGTGTCAAAATATTTGGTATTTGTTTATCAGGTCGAATGGATTGATGACTCTCTTAATTATTTAGCTGAAGATGGTTGTGCGTCAGGCCTTGAACATGTTACAGTCTCCTTGGACAATGAATGCCAAGTCGATTTCGTCGCGTATATATTAAAGGCTGCAACAACCTTGAAGGAGATGACTATCAATTTGTGTTGTCCGAATATATACGACTACGAGAGAGCTATTCTTCAAGAGCTATTGACTTTTCCAAGATCCTCACCATTCTGCAGAATTGAAGTTGTCTTTCTAAGGGAAATAATGGATACTCAAACAAGCTCATCAATCAATTAGGTGTAGTGTGCATCTTTTACCTTTTGGCAACATTGATTATTTATTTATTTGTTAAAAAATACCATCCTTTTTATTTTCCACATTAAAGTTTTGTTTCAAATGCTCCAAAAGGATTACTGGCTTACTGCTAGTGTTAGTCGTTACCACTTTGTTTATGAGTATGTAATGATGCTAGGTTTATTATTATTAGTATTATTATTACTATTATTATTATTTTGAAGAAGTAGTGCACTAATCAGTTTAGACAATGGATTGGAACCAAATACATATTACACTTTGTGAAAGTGGGACCGCATTTCACTTTCACAAAATGCTATATTTTTGTTGTTTAGAGAGCCACAAAGGCAAGTGATGAGAATCGATCCCAGGATCACCTCAAATAGAGAGGAAAGCTTTAACTACTTGAACTAACCCTCACTCTCACAAAGTGCTATATGTATTATAAAGGACTACCTAATCAAATCAACAAATACTCCAGAAAGAGATATGCATGCAGAACCCTGAAGCTTAAACGCGGCCAAAAGCAAATATACTCGTAATATCGTAGTATATACGTAGGCGTGTAGCCTAAAGCTTTCACACTATTATTCATCCACAATTGAGGCAAAATCATAGCAAGAATGATGCTTAAATTATGTATATCGAATCCACGAATGAAAAGATCAAAAGAATATTTGGCATCTAACAACATACTGTTACAGGATGTCCAAACTGAATCTCCATATCCAGGAGTGCAAAGATGAGAAATAATGATACATCATAACTTTATTGGGAGGAGACACTAACTATTAAACTCTACATATTCTGGTTTTAACAATCTCCATGTAGAACCACTAATCACAACTCAAAACAATAAGACCATAATCAAATCCTTCAAGAGGAGCCACTTTGAATGCCAAGTAACCCTCTCACTGCCCGAGTAAGAAAAAAATTACATCTCCAGCGGTGGCAATGGAAACAGCAAAGATTAAGAGGCGAACCGCTTCTAGTCGGCTCTTGACTGACCAGCACGGGATGAGAGGATGATACCAACAATGAGACCATACAAAGCCAAAGCTTCAGCGAAAATGAGGATAAGGATCATTCCAACGAAAAGCTTGGGCTGTTGGGCATTGGCTCTGTACCAAGAAATAGGTTCATCAGAAGAATATTAAGGGCATTGATATCTATTAGCACATCAATGACTTCACAGCAAGACAGTCACGTGATAAAACGGACAAGGAAGAGTAAAACAGCTTTACAGCACATGTTCAAATGGAAATTACTATAAGCATATTATTTCAGACAAGAAAAACTTGGACCAGAGGGGGAAATACAGTCATCAGAAAACACATGATGCATAAAAATATGAAAATCTGTACATTGTACACTACAGCATATTTCATGGAAGAAGAACAGTAATAAGTAAATGGAATAGATAAAAACAAAAATCAGATATACCAACTGAAAGGCAAAGCAGAGTAATCCATGATGAACAGAAATGGGGAAGATCATCTACTGAAATTCAAGCATCTGTGTTCCTAATTCTACGAAGGCACAAAACGTAAGGGGCAAGAGAAGTCAACTTCAGAAAATCGGAGAAAAGAGAGAGAGAGAGAGAGAGAGAGACCTAAACAGGCTAAAAGAAAAGACAGGAATGCCAGAAAAAATAATAAACCTCAACTCTCCTACGGAGTATGACCCAATGTAAAATCAAGACATGCCATCAAAACCATAATAGTATAGCTAAGATCTAAAATAAGGTTAGCCCACCATGTGCATAAGCTCTCATTTGGTTTTAAATAAGTACCTACAGGAAGTTAAGCAAGAAAGTATAATTTCCATTATAAATTTGGACTTAAAAGGAGTGTTATATGTCACTAATTTATGGTCAGAGAGATGTAGCATAACTATAAGTAGCATCACTGGATTTACAACTAAGTGTACAACGAGACACTTTGAGCAACATGCCCAATTAACTGCCAGCCAAGAAAATGTTCTAACTCCTGGTTGCTCAATTAACTGCTAACAAATTAGATGGAAAAAAAAAAAATCCTTAATCTCCATAAAGCTCCAAATTCATATAGCTAATTGTGGACCAATTATCACAAAAATATCAGTATGTAGTAAAAATCAGACGATTGTGCCCAAAGGCCAGAAATACAGTAGTAACAAATAACCTTATCAATTATCAGCAATACAGACCAAGCTTTGCTTGGTCTAGTGGTAAGGATTGCATCTCCCAACCTTGAGGTTGTGAGATCAAACCCCACTAGAGGCACTTTGGGGGTGGACATTCCCTTACCCTTCACCCCCCCCCCCCAAAGTGCCTAGCCCGCTAACCCGGGCCGAGAGTACCTGTGAAAGGTTCTGTCCGGTAGGGCCCTTCTTACCAACCCAAAAAAATAAAAAATATCAACAAAACAGAACATAGACCACCATTGTACAACAAATTGGTCAAGCACAAAACAATCTTGACAATAAAATTACTCTCAACCTCAACAAAAGATTTGGGGGGGGGGGGGGGTGGGGGGTTAATTGAAGATAAAATCACCCTTTACATCCAGATTAGGATAGTGAATTGGCATTACAATCTTCTGTTGGGAACTTGGGATAGTCTCGACTTCTCATACATTCAGAGGAAACAAAAGTCAACAACTCAATTTTCCATCACCAAGCATGCAGATGGTACTAGGGGCAGGAATTACAAGTAGACTAAACTAAAATTGTGATTAATGGTTTGATACTACAAGAAGAAAATCGAACAGCAAAAAGACTAAATCTCGTGACAAATACCTAGTCTAGTAATAAAATATTAGAGATGCATATTAATATTAGATGAGATGAAGTCATGAATCCACTACTTTATAAACAACCAAGTCAAAAACAGGCTTTCCAGCTATATTTTGTGAGGACCACTTCCTTGATAGTGTTACTCTTCAGTTAACACATAGCATTGACCTCATCAAATACTTACCACAACAAAAACAGATGCAAAGGAGTATTCAAGCAAAATGTAAACAATTAATACAAATTCACAGATCCAAAACAGCTCAGCACCACTAAAAATCAACATTCTAACAACGCAACATACAACAGCAAGTTATTACTGCCATTGCAACCTAGATCCTAAGAACAAGACAGACAGCTGAAAAACCAACGAACACCGCAAAGATAACATAAATTAGCATCAGCAAATATACCCCCATCAATTCAGAAATCAGAACATTTCTAGATATCCCGAAAAAAGTCGTCATCTATTCTTAACATAATGCAACTACTTCAATATAAAATTGGAAATTCCAAGATGCAAATACTTTAATCATATCATCATTTCCTTAATTAAAAGACATAGCAACTCTAGCAACAATCACAATGCTCCACCTAAAGATCCAAGAACAACAGATAGATAAAAACAACAATTCTAAACAGATCCAATCCACAAAACCATTCCAATTCACAATCAAACTAGATCAATCAATGTCATCAATAATCAAACGAAACGATACGAAAGAAGCGGATAAAGAGCAAGATATATACCTAACACCAGCATCACCGACGATACCGATGGCCATACCAGCGGAAAGACCAGCAAGACCACAAGCAAGACCAGAAGAAAGATGAGCGTAACCATCAAAGAGGTAGTAAGATTTAGCCTTAGGGTTAATACCAGTACTAATGATAACAGCAATAATCAACCCGTATATACCCAAAACTCCAGCCATAACAACTGGAACAATCGATTTCATCACCAATTCAGGTCTCATCACTCCCATTGATGCCACTCCAACACCACTCTTCGCTGTTCCATACGCAGCTCCCATACCTTCAATCAATAATCAATCAATCAAAATCCAAATTCAATCAAATCAAAATCAATATCAAAATTGAATCAAGTAAACCCTAGATCTAAACAAAATAAGCATTGAATTACATAAAATCGAAAAAAATAATCGAGAAATTTAGGGTTTGAATTTGACATACAGGAGAAGACGAGAGCAGCGGCGGCACCAAGGAAGCCGAAGAAGGGAGCTGTTTCATCGCCATTGAAGACAGCAGTAGACATGGTTGGATCTGAGAAATGAAGGTATAACAATGGCGATTGAAGGAGTGAAATTGGATGATTGTGAGAAGAAGGTGAGGAGAGAGAAAATGAAATGATTTATCAGGATTTTCTGGATGGGATCATCACTAACAAAAGAGGTTTTTATTTATTGGAGAGAGAAACAAGAGAGAGAAAGAGAATACACGTGGTGGCAAGGAAGAAGTCCGATTTCATTGATTTGTGTTTGGGTTGTTTAGTTTTTGTGTGGCCCAATGAGGAATATGTGTTTTGGCCCAAACTTTCACGATCTCCAACACACATATTAAAATGAATCCGTTTATGTAAAAAACTACCTTACTAATTATAAAAATTTGATCTTATAACGAAAGATACAATATTAAGGAACGGATTTAACAAAATTCTATGTGACAATGTTATTGCTTAAAGAGCAGTGATAGTTCATAGTCATAACAATTAAAATTTTGACTCGTCAAAATGCAATAGGCAAACAAATACAGATAGATGGAGTACCATTTACATATCACAACTAATCGATTTTTTTTTTTTAATTTTTAAAAATAAGGTGGTGATTAATAAGTGTGTATATATCCACTAAAATCATTGAGTGTTACACTTATTAGTATAGTTAATAGGTACATCAAGAGTTTAACTACAATTATGACGTACAACTAAACCAATATCAATATGTAGTATATGTGGTTGATAACTTCATACTTGATATACTCCATATTATCTAATACAAAGATATCTAAAGTTTAGCAAAGGAGCTCAATTTGAAAGGAATGGTGTCCTTCGAACAAGTGTATTATTCCGATAGAGGGTTCGGAACTAATTAAGAAATCTAATTATTCAGTGAGGTCAAGTGATCGGAATGCCTAGTTGGAGGCCGCTTCCAATCAGTAATATTAATGTATAATTAATATTACAGCTTGCTCTTGACTGAACCCTTCGGGTC